GAAGCAGGGCCTCCACAGATGGGGCATCGCCAGCTCGAGAAGACCGCTCTATCCCTGGAGGTCTCTATGATACTATCCCCAATTAGAAGCAGGGCCTTCACAGATGTGGCGTCGCCAGGTCCTTCCACCAGTTCGAGAAGACCGCTCTATCCCTGGAGGCCTCTATGATAGCACCCCCACCACGCCAGCTAACAGCCCGAAGCTGGTTCAGTTGTAAGCAGGAAGCCTCCTATGGGATCCGCCTGGCCCCCACCCGTAGACCTCTGGGGCCGAAACGGGTGGGCTGCCCCCCTATTTCTGGATCTGGGGGTGGGCGGGTCTTCTTCTCGAGGGGGGGTGGGCCTTTCGTGACCTTCTAACCCCTACCGCCATAGGTCAACCGTTGCAACAAACGGACGGATCGAGCCCTCCTGATCACTGACCAGCACCTCTGCAAGCTGGACCCCCGGAAGCAATACCGGGTCAAGAAAGCCATTGCACTGAGCAAGGTAAGGAGGGTGTGTGGGGGTCTCCTGATTTGGGGGGGGGGTCTGCATTAGAGCAGAAGGAGCTTCCAGGATTCAGGAGGTGGCAGCTGCAGAGAGGAAGCAGGCTAAGGAAGCTTCCTTCCCAGCTTTGACGGATTGGACGGATGACGTTCCCTAGCCAGTTCAGAGAGCACCAGGGACCCCACAGTGCTTTCCTCCTCCTCCTCCTCCTCCTCCTTCTCTCTCTCTCTCTCTTTCTTTCCCTTTCTCTCCAAACTTTCCTTCCTTCTAGCACTGATGCTATTACCCAGTTGGGTCATGAAACATCTGCAGAAAAAAACCCAAGCTCAGACAACACCCAGGACCTCACAGTCCTTCCTCCTCCTCCTCCTCCTCCTCCTCCTCCTCTTCCTTCTCTCTCTCTCTCTCTCTCTCTTTCCCTTTCTCTCCAAACTTTCCTTCCTTCTAGCACTGATGCTATTACCTAGTTGGGTCATGAAACGTCTGCAGGAAAACCCCCAAGCTCAGACAACACCCAGGACCTCACAGTCCTTCCACCTCCTCCTTCTCTCTCTTTCTCTTTCTCTCTCTCTCTCTCTCTCTTTCTCTCCAAACCTTCCTTCCTTCTGTCACTGATGACATTACCTAGTTGGGTCATGAAATGTCTGCAAGGCAACCCCCATGCTCAGACAACACCCACGACCCCACAGTTCTTCTTCTTCTTCTCCTCCTCCTCCTCCTAGATTTGTTGATATTCCCTAGTTGGGTCCTTCCCCCCCCCCCGTCTCTCTTTCTTTCCCTTTCTCTCCAAACTCTCCTTCCTTCTAGCACTGATGCTCTCACCTAATTGAGTCATGAAACATGTGCAAGAAAACCAACCAACTCAGAGAGCACCTAGGACCCCACAATCCTTCCTCCTCCTCCCCTCCTCCTCCTTCTCCGATTGATTCCCATAAAGCTGCCGCTCTGAAGCTTGTCCTTCGCACTTGGGATCCATGGAGGGACAAATAGATAGATAGATAGATAGATAGATAGATAGATAGATAGATAGATAGATAGATAGATAGATAGATAGATAGATAGATAGATAGATAGATAGATAGATAGATAATTTTTTCTGAGGTTTTCGCGGGTGTTTGTATGTAGGTCTTTGGTTATTTGGGTTTTCTTCCGTGTCAAATTGGAAGTGTCTTGGCGACGTTTTGACGAAGTCCCATTTGTCATCTTCAGGCTGGTGTTTTCAGCTTCGGGCTTCTAGGAGCAATGTGTGATCGTAGCTGTTTCTTCCTTTTAACTGCCAGTGGGGGTATGAACAACAATGCAGCTCACCATCTCAAATCCCCCTGCAACTCAGACTAACCCGAGCACAACAAAGCCCCCACCCAAACAGGAACACTCCCCCATCCAATCAGAGCACAGCCAAGCCCTAACCAATCAGAACACATCTCCACCCAATCAGAACACAGCCAAGCTCCCACCCAATCAGTTCATACCCCCACTGGCAGTTAAAAGGAAGAAACAGCTACGATCACACATTGCTCCTCGAAGCACGAAGCCGAAAACACCAGCCTGAAGATGACGAATGGGACTTGGTCAAAACGTCGCCAAGACACTTCCAATTTGACGCAGGAGAAAACCCGAATAACCAAAGACCTACATATATATATATAATTCCATTTTCATGACGCTCCTTCGCCCCGCCAGGTGTCCGGGCTGAGTGTCACCAGTGGAGAGGACCAGCTGGTGGTCTTCCACCTGGAGAAGCAGAAGGCCCTCGTGGTCTGTCTCCATCGCATGCAGCCGGCCAACGAGAACCGGGCCGGGGAGCTGGTGGGGGTGCTGGTGGACCACTTCCGAAGGTGGGTGATACGCCCCTCTCTCTCTCTCTCAACAGCAGCTGGTATGGGTGGGTCCTCGACTTACAGCCAGGAATGGGGGCCCGGCGTTTCCGTTGCTAAGCGGGAACACTCGTAAAGGGAGTTGGGCTCCATTTCGTGACCTTCCTTGTCATCCGTCCGTCCGCCCTTTGTCATGGTTCTGACAGACAGAGGGGAATCAAGCAGGACTCCAGGGCTGTCTGTCTGTCTTTTATCTAATCCGTCTGTCCATCCGTCCGTCCATCCATCCATCCATCTCTCTCTCTCTCTCTCTCTCTTTCTATCTATCTATCTTTGTCTATCTGTCTGCCTGTCTTTATCTATCTATCTATCTATCTATCTATCTATCTATCTATCTATCTATCTATCCATCATCCATCCATCTATCTCTATCCATCTTTTATCTAATCCATCCATCCGTCTCTATCTATCTATCTATCTATCTATCTATCTATCTTTATCTATCTATTTTCTATCTATCTATCTATCTATGTGTCTTCTATCTATCTATCTATCTATCTATCTATCTATCTATCTATCTATCTATCTATCTATCTATCTATCTATATCTATCTATCTATCTATCTATCTATCTATCTATCATCCATCTATATCTATCTATCTATCTATCTATCTATCTCCATCTATCTATCTATCTATCTATCTATCTATCTATCTATCTATCTATCTATCATATCTATCTATCTATCTATCTATCTATCTATCTCTATCTATCTATCTATCTATCTATCATCCATCCATATCTATCTATCTATCTATCTATCTATCATCTATCCATTTTTATCATTCATCCATCCATATCTATCTATCTATCTATCTATCTATCTATCTATCTATCTATCTATCTATCATCTATCCATTTTTATCATTCATCCATCCATATCTATCTATCTATCTATCTATCTATCTATCTATCATCCATCCATATCTATCTATCTATCTATCTATCTATCTATCTATCTATCTATCTATCTATCTATCTATCTATCATCCATCCATATCTATCTATCTATCTATCTATCTATCTATCTATCTATCCATCTTTTATCTAATCCATCCATATCTATCTATCTATCTATCTATCTATCTATCTATCTATCTATCATCCATCCATTTTTATCATCCATCCATCCATATCTACCTATCTATCTATCATCCATCCATATCTATCTATCTATCTATCTATCTATCTATCTATCTATCTATCTATCTATCTATCCATCTTTTATCTAATCCATCCATATCTATCTATCTATCTATCTATCTATCTATCTATCTATCTATCTATCTATCTATCTATCTATCTATCTATCTATCATCCATCCATATCTATCTATCTATCTATCTATCTATCTATCTATCTATCTATCTATCTATCTATCTATCTATCTATCTCTATCTATCCTCTCTCTCTCTCTCTATCTATCTCTATCATCTATCTATCTATCTATCTATCTATCTATCTATCTATCTATCTATCTATCTATCTATCTATTTATCTATCTATCTGTCTGTCTATCCATTCGGCCTCTTTTCCCACAATCCTAGACAAAAACACCCATCTCTCCACCCTTCAACCTGGCAACCAGCATCCCAGGTCCATCCTTCACGGCGCGCCCACGGCAAAGCTGACAAGATGGCGTGGGGGGCGGGGACAATGGCACCCGTCGCCCTGGTGTCTTCCGCGGGCCTAAGACCCCGGTTCCAGTGCCGTCGTCCCTTTGAACGGTCACAAATACCGACCGTCGTAAGCCGAGGACTTACCTAGATGTTTTTTTCCGCTGTGGTCCCCCTCTGGGAACATCTGCAGCCATGTTTAAACCTCCCATTCAATTAACCTAGTTTCTGGGTTAACGGTTGCAAGAAGGAGCTACGGGGCCAGGGAGAGACATTAGACCAGAAAATCAAATGGAATAAAACCTTATTTTTAGAGCAGCTGCTCTAATTCCGGGTCCATTTTGGGGACGGGCTGATCATCCCTATAAAAATCAAATGTTTTAACCCCGGAGACCGTTTCTATCAACCGTTTCTATCTGGAGAATTTTCGTTGTTAAGCGAATCAAGGCGTCGCTCTGTGAATCCAGCTTTCCCCCGCACCGACGTTAGAAGTAGTCAACCAATCGGAATAGAGCGGGAAGGGACCCTGGGAGGTCATCTAGTCCAACCCGCTGCTCAAGCAGGAGCCCCTTACAGAATCATAGAATGACGGAGCTGGGAGGGTCCTTAGAGGTCATCCAGTCCAGCCCCCTGCTCAAGACGGAGACCATTACAGAATCCTAGAACAGAGTTGGAAGGGACCTCGGAGGTCATCTAGTCCAACCCCCTGCTCAGGCAGGAAACCTAATAATAATAATAATAATAATAATAATAATAATAATAATAATAATAATAATGTTGGAAGGGACCTTGGAGGTCATGCAGTCCAACCCCCTGCTCAGGCCGGAAACCCAATAACAACAACAACAACAACAATAATAATAAAGTTGGAAGGGACCTTGGAGTCATCTAGTCCAACCCCCTGCTCAGGCAGGAAACCCAATAATAATAACAACAACAACAATAACAACAACAGCAACAACAATAATAATAATAATAATAATAAAGTTGGAAGGGACCTTGGAGGTCATCTAGTCCAACCCCCTGCTCAGGCAGGAAACCCTCGACCGTTTTGGACAAATGGCTGTCCAGTCTCTTCTTCAAAACTTCCAATGTTGGCAGAACTAGAACTCACCATTTCCTGGTGATGGGCTGAACGTCACCCAGTCGGCCTTCATGGATTGGAACTCGCCCTCTCCTGGTGTATGGCTCAAACTCACCCAACTGGCTTCCAGGCCTAAGGCGGGATTCGAACTCGCCACCTGGAACTCACTGCCCAGTTTCATGCTTCAGGCAGGACTAGCACTCCCCCCTGCCTGCCGTCGGGCCGGAACGTTTGCGCCTGGACCAAATTGGACTTCAACGGTAAAAATGAATCCCACAAATGATCCAATTAATGGGTAATCTTGAAATATCCCACTTGACTAGGGATTGGTGCTTTCCGTTCCGAACGAAAGGACGAGAAGCCTCGTTGCCACAAACACACCACCCACAAACACACACACGCTGTTCCGCTTGTGCCGTGAAACGGTGCGATGTCAACGCGCGAGACTCGAAGCCAGAACTCGGTGAAATCCTAAATCTCTTTATTTAGACTTGCGTTGGCACTTCCGAAGTTCTGAGTGTGCGGCGGAGCGCGTGCAAAGCGGATTGTGTTAGCAGAAAGTGAAAAAGACTCTCTAGCTTTGTGGTGCGGTTTTTTCCCCCCCCCCTCCGGCGCCACAACAAGTGTCGAAATTAATAGCCTGTCAACACAAGGGATCTTGTCTTCCGATTGCTCGTTGTGTTCATGGACGCGTTCTGCAGCCCTTCTACCTATCTATCCTACATCGTGGCTGTTACAATCCCTACATTGTCTGTTCTAGATTGTATTGTCTCTTTTCAATGGTGTGTAAATGTCTCTGTAAATGTGTCCGTGGATGGCTGCTTTGTCTGAGGGCCAGGCTTCCAAGCTTTCTTGAATATTTTTTGACTGTTTGTCCTACATAGCAGCTGTTACAAACCCTACATGTTCTGTTCTAGATTGTATTGTCTCTTTTCAATGGTGTGTAAACGTTGTTTATCTGTATATACGTCCGTGGATGGCTGCTTTGTCTGAGTGCCAGGCTTCCAGATGTTCTTGAATATTTTTCAACTGTTTGTCCTACATAGCAGCTGTTACAAACCCTACATGGTCTGTTCTAGATTGTATTGTCTCTTTTCAATGGTGTGTAAACGTTGTTTATCTGTATATACGTCCATGGATGGCTGCTTTGTCTGAGTGCCAGGCTTCCAGGAATTCTCGAATGTTTTTTGACTGTTTGTCCTACATAGCAGCTGTTACAAACCTTACATGGTCTGTTCTAGATTGTATTGTCTCTTTTCAATGGTGTGTAAACATTGTTTATCTGTATATATGTCCATGGATGGCTGCTTTGTCTGAGTGCCAGGCTTCCAGGCGTTCTCGAATATTTTTCGACTGTTTGTCCTACATAGCAGCTGTTACAAACCCTACATTGTCTGTTCTAGATTGTATTGTCTCTTTTCAATGGTGTGTAAACGTTGTTTATCTGTATATACGTCCATGGATGGCTGCTTTGTCTGAGTGCCAGGCTTCCAGGAATTCTCTAATGTTTTTCAACTTGGTTTGGGCAAGATGCTCACAGTTTTGCGGCTTCTCCTACATAGCAGCTGTTCCAGTTTTTATTGTTTCATTTCAGTGGCGTGTAAACGTTAGTTATATCTATGTGTCCTTTGAGGGCTAATTTGTCTGAGTGCATTGCCTGCTCTCTATTTTATTGTCTCTTTTCAAGGGTGTGTAAATGTTATTTATCTCTTATGTGTCCGGTGATGGCTGCTTTGTCTGAATGCCAGGCTTCCAGGAATTCCAGTCTCTTTCCAACAGTGTGTAAACATTATTTCTCTCTTTGTGTCCAGTGATGGCTGCTTGGTCTAAGTGCCAGGCTTCCAGGAGTTGTGTAATGTTTTTCAACTTGGTTTGGTCAAGATGCTCACAGTTTTGCTGTTAAAACTACGGTTGATTTTATCCACATGTTGTGCAATGAAGGAGTTTTCATTGTGACTTCTGACTGGTAGTCGACATTCCTGGACATTAATTGGTGTTCATGGATGTGTTCTACTAGTCTTCTACTTGTTTTTCCTACATAGTAGTTGTTTTAGCCCCTACATTTTCTGTTCCAGATATTATTCTCTCTTTTCAATGGCATGTAAACATTAGTTATATCTATGTGTCCTTTGATGGCTAATTTGTCTGAGTGCATTGTCTGTTCTATATTTTATTGTTTCTCTTCAAGGGTGTGTAAATATTATTTATCTGTACGTGTCCATTGATGGCTGCTCTATGTGTCCTTTGATGACTAATTTGT